GAGAGAGAGAGAGAGAGAGAGAGAGAGAGAGAGAGAGAGAGAGAGAGGGAGAGAGAGGAATGGTGGATAGCCAGTGGGACTTTTGGTACCCTTCTGGTATTCACTACCATGGAGACTACTTTGGTCATATTTTGGGGGTGGTCTCTTGTCTCCCTGGATCTGACAATGGAGTGCTATTTTTCAGCCTCATTGTTAAGTTTATTTTTTCATTTTTTTGTTCCTTCTACTCATCAAAGGTTCTTTAGCTTGGTGGTGATCAGATAATTTATTATTCAGAATAGACACTTGGCCTTGGGTGGGGCAAAGGTGCCATGAACTTGTTCAAAGTGGTAGTGTACAATAAAAAGATGACTCCATAAAAAAATGACTTTCCTTTTTTGGGGGGGTTTAAAAAAAAAGAAATTTAAAGCTAGTCACAATCTGACTCCAGCCTTCCTTCTTATTTTACATTATTCTCCTTCATGTACTCTGCAGAACAGAGTCTACAGAGTACATATATATATGCATTTACACTTGTGCATATATGTGCATTTACGTATATGTATGTGTATATGTGTATATGTATGTATACATGTGTGTATATGTATATACATGTGTCTCCATATCCACATGCACATCTATATCCATATCTATCTATATCTCCACCTCTCTACCTCTGCAAGGCTCTCCCCCATGCTTAGAACCCCTAATACCCTTTAAGGTTCAGCCTCATGCCATTTCCCAAGGAAAGCCCTACCTGATTCCTCTCATTGTTAATGCTCTGTACTCATTGCAACCTCCCTTCCCCCCCCAAAATGTAAACACTTAGAGGATAGAGACCCCCCCTTTTTTGATTTGTGTCTTTAGTACCTAGCAAAGTCCCTTGTACATAAGAGTTGTATAATAAAAGTTTATTGAAAATGATTAGATAGGGAAGAATATAGCAGGTAGAATTGAGTTTAACTAATTTAAGAAAAAAATGGAAACAGGTGGGCCTTTTCTTACAAACTTTTATTCATCGTATAATAATTACAAAGTGCTAAGTTGAACACAGAATTAGACCTGGTGTCTATCTTATGAAAATAACATCAATATCTGGTAAACTTAAATTAATAAATATGAAGCTAAATTCAGCAAACATTTTCAGTCCAATAGGGAACATTGGTGTGTCCTTAGAAGCTATGAAGGAGAAAAAAATTCTTCATTCCAAAAGAGGGAAGATGAATTCATCCTTCTCTCTAGTTCTCGGGGTCATTTGACCCCAGGATGCTAGGATCAGACTGAGAGCTGGAAGTGACTTCTTAAGTCAGCCAGTCCAGTCACAGATTTAGAACCAGAAGATAGGCTTCCCTTAGTGAATCTAAGAATCCTACCGTTTCGTTTCTCTCTGTAAACTAAGGCAATATAAATAGATCCATAAATAATTCATATAAATATAAGTTTTACCTTTTTAAATAATAAAAAAATCATATTCAGGGCAAGAAATGTTAAAAAAAAATAATGGGAGCTCTCAGCAAATTGAGATTTCTGCTTTCAATGGGCTAAGGATATATAACCAATTAAAAAAAATCCCAAAAATCAGATTAAAAGCTAACATGGGTCCATAATTTAAAGTCCATAGGGACAGGGGGTGTTCTGGTTCATATGTCTGAAAAAAAGTTTGAAGCTCGATCAGATTGAATGTCCTTTGGATTCTATATAGAATTTGGTCTGAAACCGGATTGCTCCCTGAGGGTTTGTGTGTGGCTAAAGGGAGGTATCTGTTGCTAGAAGTCAAGTTTGAGGGTGCCTCGCTGCCTCTGAGGCACCCTCCGATGAGCTGACCCTCAGCTTTCAGGACACGGTGCGTGGGGTGACACAGGTGCAGCCCACAGTCACCAGCATCTTCTCCAGTCGGAAGGAAGTGGAGCAGTTTGGGAACTCTCTACGGAGGACCAAGATCTCTTGCTGGATTGCGACAGAGTTCACGTGGTGGTCCTCTTTCCCCTCGGCATTGATGCAGCCTGAGTGACGGCACTTAGCCTCCCATATCGTGCGGGGCAGTCTGTTGGCATCCTCATTAGGACTAGAGGAGAAAACAGAGATATGTGATTTCTTGGGGAAGCATAAAAATGATCAGAATGAGAACACAAAAGGGGAAGACTTTTTAAGGGGGACAAATTCCAGACACTGGAAGTTTCTAATCCGTTTTAGAAAATATCATTTAGGTATTGGGTCTTAATAAGTTTCTGCGCGCTGAAGAACACCATCCATTTTCTCTACTTCTATTCCATAGTGACCAAAGAAAATGAAATGAGCCTAAGTCACAGTAGCAGGCGTTTAGGTTAGAGACAAGGGTCTAACTCCTCTTAGAGGAGAGCAATACATTTAGTATAAGACCAAGGACCACTCTGAGAGGGGGGTTGTGATGGTGGTGGGGATGGTGGGGGTGTCTTACTTACACCATATCCCAAGGAGAGGTGGAGCGGTTCTTGTAATCGGGGGATATCTTTGAGCCTTGGTTTCGATTAACGATATTCATGTTGATCCTCACACTCTGAGAAGAGTCATTTCCTTCAGCTTTCGGACAGCCCGACCTCTTTGGCATTGAGACTCCTGTCTTCATCATGACCACCAGAATCAGCAACAGTAGCAGTGACTTGAACTGGAGAAGAAAAAGGGAGGGAAGCATGAGAAAGAGGGGATAAATAAATGATCTGGATGACTAGTATACCCATGATCATAGGGATGTCAATGCCATGGGAAGAGTTACAAAAACTTTTCAGTAAGTGAGGAAACAAAACTAAACAAAACAAAAAACAACTCCACCAAATAGTTTAAGGGACCACACACTTTCCTTCCATATTTTCTATTCTCCTAGTAATGATGGTGAAGGCATCTGTTGGTGACCTGAAGAACAGCCCAATGTCAGCCTATTTTGTGATTTTAAGTGGAATTCTTACTTGCTTATTTCAATTACTGAGTTGGGAGAGGTGGTGTCTGTGTTAATTTGAATGGCTGAGGTATATTGTCAAATGTATAATAGAGTCACAGCTTCTGGCTTCATTTTTCTAGAGGAAAGCGAAGGCCTGGGGAAGTGAAATTAAAGTAAGGCAGTGTGGTACAGTGGGAAGAGCCCTGACTCTGGGGTTAGAAAAAGGTTCAAATCTTATCTCTGATGCTTACTGCCTCTATAGCTTTGGGCTACCACTTAACTTTCCTGGTTCTGTTTCTTCATCTGTAAAATTAGGGTGTTGGGTTAAATGGCATGTATAATCCCTTTCAGATCTATATCTGTGATCCATTTATTTGACATTAAACTGAGGCTATACCTACATTACTTTTCATCAAACCTACTGAAAGGGGAAAATGTTGGTTAAGTTACAGGACATTTTGATGTGGTAATACGGAACAATTGGTTTAACTGAATTAATTGGACCAGCTGGCTATTGATGTGTTACAAACATTAACCTGGGATTCAGACTGTACCTATAACAGTAAAACCCCGAAGGATCAGCACAATTGTTAACTGGATAGTCTTGACTTCATAGCTAATTCAAATTTTAGAATGGCTCATGTAACTTAACTTGCCGTATTTGATAAAAAAGAATCATCCTCAGAATGATCTGTTGCTTGGCTCAGATCATTTGATCCAGTTTGGGGGACTTTCAGATCAGCGTGCTCATCTTTAGGAGAAGAAATGACGCCTATACTTCTGCAAAGTTAGGTATACAACTATCATCCTTCCTTGTAGAATATTGGAAAGACCATTGTATTCTCCTATATGAAATGCTTGGAGCATTTTGGAAGTCAAGACTACAGAAAACAACAATAGTATTCTTATTAAGAATCTAGAGTCAGAGGGCATGGATTCAAATCCAACCTCTACCCCTTACTGTATATATGCAATCTTGGGTAAACACTTTATCTCCCTGGGCCTCAGTTTCCTCATCTGTAAAATGAGATGTTGGAGTAGATAGCCTCTAAGACACCTTCTTGCCTTAGATTTATAATCATAAGATCCTACTGGCAATTCTGGATAATTACTATATTGTCATGTGCTAAGTCATGGGAAGAGTTCCAACAATTTTGCAAATGAATTTTAAAAAAAATTTTAAGCTCACCAAAATACTAACAAACTACAAATTTTCCTTTATCCTAGTGATGATGCTTAGTCATTAATTTGTCCTGATGGTTAAATTGCTTTTGAATAACAATAGCTTATGATTTCTATTACATTCTAAGGTTTGCAAAGCTTTTTCCTTACCACATCCCTCTGAAAAGGATATGTAAGTATATTCATAAGGAGACAGAGGTTCAAAGGTCTTCAGCAAATTTCCCATGGTCACCCAACTAGTATACGTCAGAGTCTAATCTCCTCAAACCCAGGTCTCCTGATGCCAAGTCTAATCCCCGTTCTATTGTACTTCACCTGACTCTTTCCTCAGAGATTTCTCATTCTATAGGGGAAATACAACATGCATACAAGTACGGTACAAAGAGCAGTAACAACTTAGTGGGTTAGGGCTGGTTTCACTGAGGAGGTAAAAGTGAGGAGGTGAGCTCAGGAGACTCCCAAGTTGCACCTTGAAGGAAGAAAAGGTTTCTGAGAGGTAGAGATGAGAAGACAGTCCGTTCCAGGCATGGGGAATAGCTTGTGCAACTGCATAGCAGTGGGTGATAGAGTGTCAGCTTCAGGGAACTAATACCCAATGAACTGAACACAGAGCTTTACCTAGCTATTTGGAATTTGAGTATGTGTATGGGAACACACAACCATATTATCTTTATATTTGTTGTATCAAGAATACAATGGAAGAGGCTAGAAAGCTCAGGAGGGCACACTTCAAAGACCCATTCTAGATAGGATGATCCATTTTAAAGGCAAGTATAGCCACAGAAGTATCATATTAAAGTTCTCTCTGCAACCTGAGAATAAGATACTGTGACATGATATGACACATCCCATGTGGTTTAGCTTAGGGCATAGGTCTCTTTCAGTTTTAATCTAATTCTTCATGTTGATTATTATTTCATCCCCATAGTTTACAACCCTCTGCATTTCCCATCCAAAGTATATCTTATTCTTTCATCTACCATAGAAAGCGGTCAATATTCCTGCATGCCCAGGCTAGAAGTATTTTCTGGGCCTTTCCAAAGAAAGACATTCAGGTTATTGCTGTACTTACCCCTGGCGAGTTGCTCGGAGAAGACATGGTGGCTTCTCTTTCTCAGTCTGGGATTGATGGTTGTGTGTCTGCTGAGAGGCTGACGATGTGTAGCGCTGTCATTTCGCCTTAGCTTTTTATAGCATGTCACTCTTCTTGCCTGTCATTTGTGGTTAGGCTGACTTGATAGTATTTAGTTGAAAAATTCCATTCACTAAGCAGGTCAAACTGTATGATGGAAAGAAATAATTCACTGTTCGCCCTGAGTAATACGCGTAGTAACCAATATGATCATCATTTGCAGAGCTGGAAGGGACCATGGAAATCATTTATTCCAACCTCTTTTTTTTTTTTTTGCGTGTGAGGAGAGCAAGACTAAGTTCAATGAAATAATATCCTATAATTATAACTAACATTTTTATGTCACTTTAAAGTATATCAAATGGTTTCCCTGTCATAGCCATGGTGAGTAGTTGGTGCAAGTTTGGAAAGCGTGTGGGACTTGGCATCAGGAAAGACCTGGATTTGAATCTTGACCCTGACTTTCATTGTGATGTTGGGCAAGTAACTTCTCAAAGCCTTAGCTTTCTCGTCTGTAAAGTGGGGGTAATGATGCTTATACCACCTAAATCTCAGTGTTGTTATGAGGAAAATGCTTCATAAAGTTTAAAAACTTATGGTTTTTTTCATAGATGAGGAAGCTCAGAACACAGAATGGGTGAGTTATTTAGGATCCTGGGATTAAGAACTAGAGGAGGTCTTAGATAAAACCTGTGCCAATTCCTATAATTTACAGATTAGAGAAGATCTTCTGGATCAATATACAGTATCTTTTCCATTAAACTTGGCTGCCTCTCTCTCTCTCTCTTTTTTTTTTATTTTGGTGAGACAATTGGGGTTAAGTGACTTGCCCAGGGTCACACAGCTAGTAAGTGTCATGTGTCTGAGGTGAAATTTGAACTCAGGTCCTCCTGACTCCAAGGCTGGCGCTCTATTCACTGCGCCACCTAGCTGCCCCTGCTGCATCTCTTTATCCATGGTCAGATAGGCCAGAGTCTCTAGACTCCCAGGCTACTACCTGTATGGTTAGTTCTTTTCTAATGTATATGGCAGAGCCAGAGCACTGGACCTGTGTTCAAATCTGGTCTCAGATACTTACTAGCTGTGTGACCATGGGCTAGTCACTTAACCTCTGTTTGCCTTAATTCACTGGAGAAGAAAATGGCAAACCACTCCAGTATCTTTGGCAAGAAAACCCCAATGGACAGTATGATCCAGCCCTGAGGAGGTCATAAAGAGTCGGACCCAACTGAACAACAGCAAGATGTATATTGTACATTTCTAGTCATTGACTTCAGTCTAAAAAAATGCTGCTAATTACCTAACCTGCCCTACAATCTAAGGAACCATTAGTTCCTTAGGCAACCATATAGTTGCCTGCAATGACTTGGTATGGATATATAAAGAGGATCAGCATAGTAGATGGACAGCTGGTTTCAGATTCAGGAAGACTGAGTGCCTCTTATACATTCTGATTGTGTTACCTTTGGCAAGTCAATCAAAATTTCACTGCCCCAGGTAATTCTCTAAGATTAGATAGTTTCAGAGCCAATGCCCATCTATTGTAAAGGTAGAGAGATTTTTCTTATTAAGAGTTCTCTACATCAATGAAATTATAGAACTAACAAAAAAGGGGTGGCATTCACATTCTGTGCATAGATAATACTAAATTCTGAAATATTCAAGATCTCCTCCAATGCTTCACTGTGGTGTAAAGAGGTTCCTGGGGGCTTTTAAAGGCAGTACCATTAGAATACTAGCTCTGGCATGCCTGAGGGAGCTGGAAAGGCTTCTTCAAGTATTGGCCCATTGATAGACTATATGTCTATCATTTGAAGACCAGCTTAGCTAATGTCAGAGAAGCTGATCAGCAAGACAGGTCCAGGGTGCAGAATTTTCCAGCCACCAGAACTTTCAAAAAATACTTATTAGGGTTTGTACCTATCTACATAGAGGGTTTGTAGTACATACACATACACATACACACACACACACACACACACAGTGACAGAATCACAGATCTTTCAAATATTTTAAAGAATTCACCTTTTTTTCCCTACCACATGGGGAAAATAAAATTAGTATGGCATTGGTTGAAAGCTGGTTGAAAGACCATTGGATTTGGACTCAAGAAATCTAGCTTTTAAACCATGGCTCTGTCCTTTACTACCTAAATGACCTTAGGCAAGTCACTTCCCTTAGATTACTTACATGTAAAATGAGCATGTTAGATTAGATTATTTCTTCAGTTGCTTTAAGCTCTCAATCTTGTGATCCCACCCAATCCTCTAAAACTTTAACAAACCATGTAGTGTATGGGCTCATCATGATCTTCTAGAGGGGCTCTCAATCTCTTCCTGATGAAGAATCAGATCAATTTAATTCAACAAACACTCATCAAGAACCTGTCCAAAAGATAGAAAGACAAAAATGAACCAGGCCCTGATCTCCAGGAACTTACACTCTGGATTCAGTAAAGTACAGTAGAAAGATACTTGGATATAGAGTCAGAGGACCTGGGTTCATATCCTGATTCCGTCATCTGCTAGTTTTGTGACCTTGTCTGAGATCGTGTAGCCTCTCTGGGTCTCAGTGTCCTCACTTTATAAAATGAGGGAGTTGGATAAGTTGACTTCTAAGGCCCCTTTCAAGGGACCTACCTTGGGGAATGTAACATACACATGAGTTAAGGATAATCCATTGAAGAATGATGAGAGAGCCAGAGAGAGATACACAGAGAGAAATAGAGATGGAGAGAGACACAGAGAGATCCCTAATAAGTGGAGGGCTCAAGGCAAGCAGCCCTGAGGAGGTAACACTTGAGGTGAAGGAAGGTAGGATTTCTGAAAGGAGAAGGAGGAATGTTTTCCAACTATATGTAATAGCTCACGTGTGTATAATCAACTACAAAGGACATGTGAAGAATTCTCTATTTGCATACAGAGAAAGAATTGATGAAATAGAAGTATGTATAGAATGATTTTACATATATATTATACACATGTTTGTTTTTAATGGTAGTCATCTCTAGGGTCATGGGGAGGGGAAGGGAAAAAAGGGGGGGGGGAGAAATTAACATGATAACTTTATTATTTATTTAAAAGGAATAGCAAGTTTTACATAATAGATTTGCAATCATCTTTTTAAAAAAATGTTTCTTTTCATGAGACAATTTGGGTTAAGTGACTTTCCCAGGGTCACACGGCTAGTAAGTGTCAAGTGTCTGAGATCGGATTTGAACTCAAGTCCTGCTGACTCCAGAGCTCATGCTCTATCCACTGTGCCATCTAGCTACCCCCTCTTTTTTATTATACTATGTTATGGAAATGCTTATTTTATTCCATAAATTAAAAATAAAATAAAAAACAAACAAACAAAAAAAAAAAACCCCGATGTGTGTAGAGGACTTATTACGGGAAGCTATCAACTTGATGAGCTTATAGGAAGTTGGGAGGTGGAATGTTGAGTTTAGAGAATAACTAGGTGTCTCCTTAGAGGCAGCTGTTGGCACAGTAGTTAAAGTGCTGGACCTAGGAGTCAGGAAGACCTGAATTTCAAATCTGGCCTCAGACACTTACTAGCTACGTGACCATGTACAAGAAACTGCCTCAATTTCCCTGACTATAAAATAGGTACAATTATAGCATCTACCCTGAAGAATTGTTGTGAGAATCAAATGAGATAATATTTGTAAAAAGCATAGTGCCTGGGATATAGTAGGTGCTTAATAAATGCTTATTCCCTTCTCCTTCCTTCTCAATTTTGACTAAAATATGAAGTTCATGAAGGGGAGGACTATGAAATAAGACTGAAAGGGCAGGTGAGAGCCAGATTGTATAAGACCTTATGTTCTGGGATAAGAAGTTTGTATTTAATTTTAGATGGAATGGGGAATCATTGAAGATTTTTGAATAAGAGAGTTGATACAGTCAGTGCCTTAGGAAGATTATATTGTTGGCTTTGTAGAGGACGGATTGGAGGAGAGAGAGATTGAAAGCTGGGAGTCAAATTAGGAAGCTATTTCAGTAAGATATGAAGAAGTTGGACAAGATGTAGTTCAGGTGGGAGGTGATGACAACCTTAATTGGAGTGTTAGCTGTGTGAATGGAGAGAAAAGGATGGATGTGAGAGAGGTTGTAGAGAAAGAATCAACCAAACCTGGCAACTCATTAGATATGGGGTGGAGTGGTGAGAGAGGAAGAGAGAGGGTATAATCAAGAGTGATTATGAGATGATGAACCTGGATGATTGGAAGGATGATGATATCTTCTACAGAGATCAGGAATCCTTCAGGAGGGACAGGTTGAAAAGGAAAGATAATGAGTTCTGGTTCAGCTATGCTCTCCAAGTCCCTCAGACTCACAACCTAGGTGGTGGTCTCACCTTCTCACTATCTCTTACTCCTCCTGCCCCCATATGCAAGCTGTTGCCAAGACCTGTTGATTTCATCTTTGTAACACCTCTTGAATTCACCTCCTTCTCTCCTCTAACACTGCCCCACTTTAGCACAAGCCCTCATCACCTCTCACCTGGTGGTGGGTCTGCCTGCTTCAAATCTCTCCCTACTCCAATCCATTCTGCATTCAGCCACTGGAATGATCATCCTGAAGTGCAGGTCTGACCACATCATCTCCCTACTCAATAAACTCCAGTGGCTCCCTATTACCTCCATGGTCAAATACAAACTCCCCCATTTGCCCTATAAAGGACTTTTTATAACCTAGCCCTCCCCTATCCTTCCAGTCTTCTTATAGGTTACTCTCTACCATGTACTCTTTGATCCGTGACACTGGCCTCCTTGCTGTTCCACAAACAAGAAACTCCACATTCCTTATTCAGGTGTTTTCTCTGGTTGTCCTCCATACCTGGAATGCTCTCCCTCCCCTTCTCTGCCTACTGGCTTCCCTTAAGTCTCAACTAAAATCCCATTTTCTATAGGAAGCCTTTCCCAATCTTCCTAAATTCTAGTGCCTTCCTTCTGTTAATTATTTCCAATTTATCCTGTATATAGCTTATTGGTGCACATTTGTTTGTTGTCTCT